CCTGCGCATTCTAAAGTAATGACATTAACTGGTCACAGACAGTTGAACACGTTGTGCTCCGTTCTAAAACACACATGTTACTTAAAAAAAGTCGCACTAAGTCAGTCGTCGATGGCTCGAACAAATGTTTGCAATGTGTGTCCAGTTGTGGACAAGAGATCAGCCTCACTGTTCCAAGTAAACGGCATGCCTGTAATTACACGAATATCAAATTGGTATTGACAGTGAGAAATCACTGCTGTCATTGATCCGTCAGCAGGCAATTGATTGATTCGGTGTTTGGCATAACAATCTTCCGATTGTTAGGAGGAGTGGAGCACGGTCGGACGGGAGCTGGTAAGTCAAGAACAATTGAACACCCTTAACATATGCATTCTCGCAGGCAGATGATACTCTCTTACACCAGCCCACGACACTCCCTCACTCCACAGTGCTCATATCATGGATGAATACGAGTGCATTCTGCTCCGTTCCCTGCTTCCTCATTCCGCTCTCCCCTTCTTGCTTTGTTTCTTCCCACAATGTGTTTCGACACACAGCGTACTGCATATTTCGCTGAAATACAAGAACAATATCTAACTGTTAGTATTCAACTCCACCGTGTCTCTAATTGATTGCGATCTCACCACAAAGAAAACACCGTGGTGAATGCTTGCAAAAATTGTCACTAACTTGGTCGAGTGAATTATTGTCCTTTGAAAATCAGCATTCTCAGTCTACTTCCTGTCCAGTTGTGTCAACCATTTTACATTGAAGCACAATGCTCAATCAGCTTTCATACAACAGCATGCATATTTGAAATATTGTCGTATTAAAGTTCTATTTGATAGCAGCAACGTTTCGCTGACACTGTGTAATCGAGCGAGATATGTGATAAATGTGTTCATGTCGGCTTTGTATGTCAAGCACCTCAACTGAATAATCGTGAGTAAAACACCGGTCATAGTGTAGTGTGTTAGCACGGTGCTGGTCTGATTACGACGATGTGTGAATTAGAGAAGAGACGTGGTTGAAATGATGCAGGTGCAATAAGACGTCTGCACCGAACGATGTTTGCTTCTGTTGCAATTGTATCCAGTGACTTGGTGATGATGACTGACTTTGTGATTGTCGGTACATGTTGTTTGTGAACTAGCGATGAATCAATGTTGGTGAAATTGATTGACGATGTGTGGCCATATGTATGAGGAAGAAATAGTATTTGAATGCGATAGAATAGCAGTGTGTTGTTTAGTGCGGCGGATAGTCGGGGGTGTAGCTCAGTGGTAGAGCGCTCGCTTTGCATGCGAGAGGACCCGGGATCGATACCCGGCACTTCCAGGACTCCGTGAATCCGACCTCCCGAACACTCAGTGGTGGTGGTTGGCTCACACTTTTCCAACTGCCGACTAACTCCACCCCAATCAACTAACTATACCACACTACACCACACTTCACTTCACTCACTTACAGCAATGTCGTCTGTCCATCCTTTCTCATCTAACCGACCTGCGCATTCTAAAGTAATGACATTAACTGGTCACAGACAGTTGAACACGTTGTGCTCCGTTCTAAAACACACATGTTACTTAAAAAAAGTCGCACTAAGTCAGTCGTCGATGGCTCGAACAAATGTTTGCAATGTGTGTCCAGTTGTGGACAAGAGATCAGCCTCACTGTTCCAAGTAAACGGCATGCCTGTAATTACACGAATATCAAATTGGTATTGACAGTGAGAAATCACTGCTGTCATTGATCCGTCAGCAGGCAATTGATTGATTCGGTGTTTGGCATAACAATCTTCCGATTGTTAGGAGGAGTGGAGCACGGTCGGACGGGAGCTGGTAAGTCAAGAACAATTGAACACCCTTAACATATGCATTCTCGCAGGCAGATGATACTCTCTTACACAAGCCCAAGACACTCCCTCACTCCACAGTGCTCATATCATGGATGAATACGAGTGCATTCTGCTCCGTTCCCTGCTTCCTCATTCCGCTCTCCCCTTCTTGCTTTGTTTCTTCCCACAATGTGTTTCGACACACAGCGTACTGCATATTTCGCTGAAATACAAGAACAATATCTAACTGTTAGTATTCAACTCCACCGTGTCTCTAATTGATTGCGATCTCACCACAAAGAAAACACCGTGGTGAATGCTTGCAAAAATTGTCACTAACTTGGTCGAGTGAATTATTGTCCTTTGAAAATCAGCATTCTCAGTCTACTTCCTGTCCAGTTGTGTCAACCATTTTACATTGAAGCACAATGCTCAATCAGCTTTCATACAACAGCATGCATATTTGAAATATTGTCGTATTAAAGTTCTATTTGATAGCAGCAACGTTTCGCTGACACTGTGTAATCGAGCGAGATATGTGATAAATGTGTTCATGTCGGCTTTGTATGTCAAGCACCTCAACTGAATAATCGTGAGTAAAACACCGGTCATAGTGTAGTGTGTTAGCACGGTGCTGGTCTGATTACGACGATGTGTGAATTAGAGAAGAGACGTGGTTGAAATGATGCAGGTGCAATAAGACGTCTGCACCGAACGATGTTTGCTTCTGTTGCAATTGTATCCAGTGACTTGGTGATGATGACTGACTTTGTGATTGTCGGTACATGTTGTTTGTGAACTAGCGATGAATCAATGTTGGTGAAATTGATTGACGATGTGTGGCCATATGTATGAGGAAGAAATAGTATTTGAATGCGATAGAATAGCAGTGTGTTGTTTAGTGCGGCGGATAGTCGGGGGTGTAGCTCAGTGGTAGAGCGCTCGCTTCGCAAGTGAGAGGACCCGGGATCGATACCCGGCACTTCCAGGACTCCGTGAATCCGACCTCCCGAACACTCAGTGGTGGTGGTTGGCTCACACTTTTCCAACTGCCGACTAACTCCACCCCAATCAACTAACTATACCACACTACACCACACTTCACTTCACTCACTTACAGCAATGTCGTCTGTCCATCCTTTCTCATCTAACCGACCTGCGCATTCTAAAGTAATGACATTAACTGGTCACAGACAGTTGAACACGTTGTGCTCCGTTCTAAAACACACATGTTACTTAAAAAAAGTCGCACTAAGTCAGTCGTCGATGGCTCGAACAAATGTTTGCAATGTGTGTCCAGTTGTGGACAAGAGATCAGCCTCACTGTTCCAAGTAAACGGCATGCCTGTAATTACACGAATATCAAATTGGTATTGACAGTGAGAAATCACTGCTGTCATTGATCCGTCAGCAGGCAATTGATTGATTCGGTGTTTGGCATAACAATCTTCCGATTGTTAGGAGGAGTGGAGCACGGTCGGACGGGAGCTGGTAAGTCAAGAACAATTGAACACCCTTAACATATGCATTCTCGCAGGCAGATGATACTCTCTTACACCAGCCCACGACACTCCCTCACTCCACAGTGCTCATATCATGGATGAATACGAGTGCATTCTGCTCCGTTCCCTGCTTCCTCATTCCGCTCTCCCCTTCTTGCTTTGTTTCTTCCCACAATGTGTTTCGACACACAGCGTACTGCATATTTCGCTGAAATACAAGAACAATATCTAACTGTTAGTATTCAACTCCACCGTGTCTCTAATTGATTGCGATCTCACCACAAAGAAAACACCGTGGTGAATGCTTGCAAAAATTGTCACTAACTTGGTCGAGTGAATTATTGTCCTTTGAAAATCAGCATTCTCAGTCTACTTCCTGTCCAGTTGTGTCAACCATTTTACATTGAAGCACAATGCTCAATCAGCTTTCATACAACAGCATGCATATTTGAAATATTGTCGTATTAAAGTTCTATTTGATAGCAGCAACGTTTCGCTGACACTGTGTAATCGAGCGAGATATGTGATAAATGTGTTCATGTCGGCTTTGTATGTCAAGCACCTCAACTGAATAATCGTGAGTAAAACACCGGTCATAGTGTAGTGTGTTAGCACGGTGCTGGTCTGATTACGACGATGTGTGAATTAGAGAAGAGACGTGGTTGAAATGATGCAGGTGCAATAAGACGTCTGCACCGAACGATGTTTGCTTCTGTTGCAATTGTATCCAGTCACTTGGTGATGGTTACTCAGTTTATGATTTTCCTATATTTTTTTTAATTTTTTGTTTTGGTTATTTAATTTTTAGGAATGTTGGTGTATTTTGTTTTACCTATTTTATGCTTGTTTCGTTCAGTCGAATTCATGGCCTATCGTCTATTTTTGGTTCGACTTATTTTTTACTTGCTTCTTTTATCTAATTTTTTTTTTTAATCTTTATCTTCTCTTTCTTTGAATTTCTCTGTTTATTTATATTTGAATTATGACATCTATGACATAATTTTTTGTGTAATATTTGGATATTTGGTTAACAACAATTGTAATGTTACCTCCGCTTACCTTATGATATATTGTTCTTACGTATTTATCGGAAATCACATATTTACAATTTCATTCATGTAAATAATTTTTCCTAAATTTGTAAGTGGAATCGTCGTAGTTTTTCCTGAATAACGTCGCAAGGTAAAGGTATAAATGGTATATGATACATAATTCGCACCATTAACAATGTCATTTGTGCATTCAATCCTCATGTATATTGATGTGCTGTTTTTTTCACACTCAACCTTATGAAATGGCATATTTGAATCTATTTCGAGAAAATTTCCAAAATTATTTTTCATTTTATGTATTTAGGTACTGAAAAATTATTTAAGTAATCTGTCTAAAAAAACACAATATCCTATAGCGTTTATACAAATGAACGAGTAATTTTAGATTAAACAATTTCTGTACAAAATAATATAAATTTCATCTGAGTCATACATAGAATAGAGAGAAAAGTTGTTCATTACGAAGGAAATGAATACAACAGATTCAAACGTTTAAGACGATATCCATTCGAATATATCAAATTTCTGGAAAACCTTAGAAGATAAACAAGGTCTTTCAACAGCAAAATGTTATTGTATATAAACATTTCACAATATTTTAGCAAAAGATCAATTGTTAAATGGTGACTAAGATATAAAGGAATACAAACTTGTCATAGAAAGAAACTTACCTGAATAGATAAATATGTGAAAATTATATACAAAAATTCACTAGAAGAGTTAAACTGGTGAATGTGATGAACTCAGTGGCGAAATACAATAGAAAAAAAAGCCAAAGTACAGTTGCACAAGTTCATAATAATATTATGAACAAATTATTAATTTTTCGAAATACAAACAATTGATTTTGGACATTTGTTATGCGAAAAGAAACCAACTAGATTGAGACGGATACTTTTTTTGATTCACACTAACTGCGACTGAATGTAATAAGTTTAGGTAAAGCAATCGATTTTCTAGGTAGTTTCAGTGATAGATTAGGACTTGATGATTTTTTAATACACTCCACAGTTGTTGAACGTACTAAATAGGTAGGTAGTGGATAAGTTACAGTGCTCTTATTTTCAAATTCATTATTACTATCATTAGGATCAATGGAAGAATTCTTGGAATCCTTCGAGTTGAAATGGAACTGAGGAGTTGATACAGAGAAATCGTATTCTGCTTCTGAAGAATCACTGGAATCTTCACTTTCACTAGGTACTTCTAAACCTGATACTAATCGAACACGTGTATAATAACTTAAACTAATTGCAGGATAGAATAAATTCAATTTCTTCTTTGCATTATCTCTTCCCTGATTTGATTGATCTAATTGTTTTGTATGTAAATTGGTAAAAGCTATCGGACCATGTGGTTCACCATTCAAATAGAAAGCTAAATGACCTTGTTCACAATCAAATCGAACACCGATTGTAGTTGTTATTGAGCATGTATTCTGACTGAATCCTTGATCATTGATTTCTTGTTGTGTTATTCTAATACCTCCATCTGTACGATCTCTATGCTCACCTTGATGTAGAAACCATGAACGTTTAGAATTTAAGTACATTGCCCAACCAAATTCATCCTGACCTGTTAGAAAAAAGGCATAGTATTCTGATTAGAACTTAAGAATTAAACAAAATTGTTCACAATTTCATACCATCATTTTCAATATTCATTATATATATGTATATATGAATAGAAATCATAAAATGACTAGTTTTGAAATTCATTTTTATATAAAAAATAAATAAATAAACGATATGCTCTTATTCAATCGAATGTAACTCAATCTTCATTGAAAATTCCAGTTTCAAGACACAACAACAACTACACACACATAAACGGCATTAATTTCCATTTTTACATGAGATGATTTGTTGCATTCGATACAAACAAACGAAAAACTGAATAAATAAGGCGAAAAAAAATATTAGTTCTTATATTTCCGATGTACATTCTCATTTCAGGATCTATTCTCCATAAATAATACATTAAATCAATAAAATGAATTCTTATTATGAATATAAAAAAAATGTCCATCGAAAATTTCATATCACAGCAAAGTATAAAAGGATTAATTACGGTAAAGAAAAACAAATTATACACAAGACAACCAATACGAATTGGTTTTAAAATAAAAATTCATTCGACCAGGTTGTGCGTTTATGAAACTAGTCAAAATCGATAAAAAAAATACAGAAGGTCCAGGGTTCGAATCCTGCGAGGTGCAGGAGTCGTGGATGTGCACCGCTGATGAGTCCCATAAAAGGACAAAACGGGTTTTGAATGGTGGTCTAGCAATGACTGATTGATGCTTTGAAATATGCAACAAACTCTAATCTTCATAACTCTAGCTGAAAAGATTAAATAATATTGATTTATTAAAATTCCTGTTCAATATTATTCCCCAATTTATCAATCAAAAATAAATGAGCAATGAAGACGTTTATTCAAAAACATCGATTTTCAAAAAAGATTCAATTACCTTTAAATCTTATGGTGCGTACAGCATATTTTTGTGACATATTGACCAAAAATCTCTTAGTAAGTACAGTTTATTTTATCATCAATATTTTGCATGAAAGGGTTGTGGAGATTGTTGAGTTATTTTTTAAAATCATGTATAGATCAATGTTAGACTACCATTCGAAACCTAGAAGCATTGGACGGCCATTTCGTCCTGGTGTGAGACTCATCAGCTCTGACCATCCATAACTCCTCCTACTCGCAGGATTTGAACCCAGGTCTTGCTCGAGAACGTTTAAACTCTGGACCATTGAGCTAGCATCGAACGGTGTTAATGTCTAACTTCGATCAATCATCCCTTGTCTACGGCAAGCACTGCTTCACACCCAAACAGGTTTCTAAAATAGTGGTCTAACATTAATCATCAATATTATCAACTTATTTGAGTTTATCTTAACCGTAACGCACAGTTAAGCAGACTGGTTGCTAAATCTACACTTAAAAATACTCTAGCCAATCCAAACAATTTTAATTTATAGATAAATCAGTATATTCTCATCTTTTCCTCAAATTCCCACATTTGGCATTGATGTCTTTGAGAAATTTGTTCCTTTAGTGTTAAACCCAAAGTCATTAGTTAGGTACTACACGTCCAGAGTACTTATCACAGCTGAATTACATCCCACTATTTTAACCGGTAAACAGTTTTTGTTATTGTTATCTTAATTTATAAAGTACAATCTATGACAATTGAATACATATTAGTCATTGTGATGCATAATGTAACACAAATTCTTGTGACTTCAAATTTCATTCCCCTACATCCAAAAGTTCATGCTGTGAAATTCAAAATAATTAGTCATATTTTATTAATATAAAGGCTACAGAAGCTCAAATGCAAAGACTGTTGTGTGTTTGTTCTCTTTAAACTTTGTATCACACATCATGATGAATAGTTCTCGACTGTATCAAACTTAGTCTTCAAGATGATAGAAGCAATCTCGAAAAGATTACATCACATCACATCACATGCTGTGACCAATACCTATTATGTGTATAGATGACTAAAACGACACAAATATAAATATACATCCATTGTTATTTTCAATTTGAATTGTAACAACCATACAATGTGAATTTATGTCTGGTTTGTTTTAATTTACTCGTATACAGTTGCTTTTTTTTTATAGTTCTATAAGATTAAAAAAGACAAGTCAAGTTGACAGTTTTTAATAAACTATTTTTATTGTTAGGCTTTTCTTATCAAAATGGAAGGTTGTTTAATTAGGAAAATTTTTGATTATCCCTAGAGAATGAGAAAAATTTTGCCTTAAGCAAATTATTTTCTCAGCTAAGTAAATTATAATTATAATTCTAAAAGAGATGTATGGAAAAAAAAGTTTATTCTGTTGTATAATTTTTATATGAATATAAAAAATTCTATTGTGGTTGTTATTATTTTTTGTTCCAATCAGTAGCATAAGACTAGCTATGCAGCAGCACCAATTCACTAAATAATAAGGTCATGCAGCTTTAAAAATTCAATAGGAATGAAGCAGGTTAACCAAATGGTTTAAAGGGAAATTAGTTTATTTCAAGCAACTGTTAGACTATTATTTAAGAGTTGGGTTGGATGATTAGATAACTTTCTAGGGGAAAAATTTGGAAATCAATGACGAAGCGTCCGATGATATTCACATTACACATTTGAAATCATCAATCAACCATTGTTAGACCACCATTGGAAACCTCGAACTGCCGTTTCGTCCTGGTATAGGACTCATCAGCAGTGCACATCCACGACTCCTGCATCTCGCAGTACTCGAACCCTGCGACCATAGGTATTGTGCGCGGACGTCTAACCATCGGACCACTGGGCCAGCATCCAACGGTGTTAATGTCTAGCTCTGATTGATCTAGGGATTTAGCGTGACCTCACCCATTTGTCGTTGGTAGTTACTGTCTACACCAGACAGGGTTGAACTCCATTGGTCACGTCTTCTCAATTAGAACTCTGAGAATTTCCTCACGAAGCTAGTCACTAGTGAGCACATTTTACGATATTTTCAATTAGGATTATGGAGATTAGCGTTTTTACACATTTGAAATCATTAATCAATCATTGTTAGACCACCATTAGAAACCTGGAATCACTGGACGGCCGTTTCGTCATGGTATGGGACTTATCAGCAGTGCTCATCCACGACTCCTGAACCTAGCCGGATTCGACATATTATTGAATATTATTAATTCTGATAATTGTGCAGATCAAATTTTCTTTTGATAGTGTACACAGTATAATAGCTATTTGCATACCTAAAAGATGGTTATATCTTGTTCAAACAAGTGGAACTTCATGTTTACGATAATATAATGAACAATATATGTATCAGTGATTTTTTTCGAAAACTTTATTTTTCTTGTTGAACTTTCGGCTTTAATGTACAGACATCCTGCCTCTTACTCTATCCACATTGATACTTATCACAACTCATTGTTCTTTATTGCTGTACTCGATAATTTGAAGACCATCTTACAACAAATTATTTTAATTTTAACAGCCAGTATGAGTTTTATCCACTGATTTACTATTACTCTGTCTGCTACACGATGGACGGTTAACTAATGCTGTGGTCATATATCCGATTGCCTTGCTATTCTTTTATTCTCGGTTGTTCCTTTTTCAGAACCTTATCAACAATGAACAGCTATGATGCTTCTTCTTCTGAGCAAAATGAATCTTCCGTACGTACATGTCAAGGTCATCAAGAGCCTTCCAATCGAAAATTTCTAATAAATATAAACCCTACTAACCTGTTCTATTACACAAATACTCTACAAATAAATCTCCGTAAACTACATTTCATTAATCACTCTTGAATGATGCATACCACTCAAAGAACTCTGCTGCGTACCTACCCTATTTGTAATCAGTAATTTGTTAGAAATGTGGCTGTAACAACGTTTTTTCACGTTGGTAAAATGGTGTCAACTCAGAGCAAAGAATATTATTATTATTATTCTAACTGAGCAGCCCTACTACAGTAAATTTCGTATCATTTTTAACTAATTGATCTTGCCTGTAAACTGGTAACACACTGTTATTTGAGAATAAATAGACAGTTTAATCTCACACATCAGACAGGCAAACAGATACAACGCAGAACTTCGTACGTAAGTACATCAGTTCAGGTTGCCATACCACATCAGCTCAGAGATGCAACTGTCAGTTCAAATCCAAGAGTGATAGCGATATTAGGAGTATTAGCAGTTATGGAAAAGATTAGGGTTCGAAGATATGATCCGACAAGTATAATTCAGTAAGATAAATTTAGAAGGAGAAAGATAGAGATTATGAGGAATCCAGAAAGTTGGAATTAGAGAAAACACAAAGAGTGGATGCACCTGCGCCATTGCTAACGATTCTGAGCCATGTCATTCAGGGTATCTAACCGTCGATTATTATCATCTCGCGGACCCCAACCAGGTAGTCGACAACTACCGACATGGCTCAGTCCACTTGTCAGTGACTTGATGGATTTCTGACATGTTTTGGTTTGACCGGCCCTAGATTACTTCCAACCTATTCCTGCATCACAAAATATAGATCGACGAGGCAGTCGGTGGTTAGGCATACGCAGCACATGTCTCAACCACCTCAACTGATGAAGTTTTAATGCTTCATCTATTGACTTGCCATCCCTACCTAGAACTCGTTTCCTAACGACAGCATTGCTTATACGGTTGTCCCATGATACACGAGCAATGCTTCGCAGACATTGATGATCGAAGACTAGTAACGTACGAAAGTCCTCTACTATTAGCGACCATGTTTCGTATCCGTATAGTGGGACGGAGCGAACTACTGCACAATAAACTTGTCCTATAGTCAGCAAACGGATATCTCGCCTTCGTCATAAGTGACGCAGGTTGGCAGTAGGCAATCGAATCTTCTGTATCCTTGCTGAGATTTCGTCAGTCACCAGGCCATCAGCACTCATGAGACTCCCCAAATACGTGAAGCGGTCTACACGTTCGACTACTTCACTCCCTACACCAATTTGCGTAAACTTACGATCGTATATTAAATATTGAACTAACTCTACACCAAAGAATATTATTAAATTATAAACATCAACTATTCATTGTAAACAGTATTGGGTTAAAATATTCATAATTAATAATCATAATATGCTTTTAAATTTCTTGTTTCTTTTTATTGTCACATTCCGATGATTAGACTTGAGAATGAGTTCATGCTTACATGTTGACATATTTTCAAATGTAAAAATTGTATTCAGATATACAGTTATCGTTATTATTTATTAATGAACTTTTAAGCTATTTAACCTAAATAATTTTGAATGATAAAGAATATCGGATAAGAATTCTGTTTATTTGTGTTATAAGTTTTTATTAATTAATAATAACAGTGAAGAATAAGGAAAAATAATTGCTACTTCTTACTCTTTTATTTTAATAAATGACTCATTAAAATAAGGTCATACAAATTTTTAATAAACATTTAGTCCAATTAGGATAGCTAGTGATAAATAAGTTCGATTATCGATCGTTTGATTCATTCAAATGCTAGACAATTATTCTACATATATTAGGTCTAAATTTGTGAAGAGTTAAATTGTTTAAATCAATTGGATCAAACCAAATACTGTGGTTGAGATGAAATATGCAGAATTTCATACATACAGTGCAGACTATTTTGCAGATTGTATGATCCCGAACAATGTTTCTTACAGTGCAACTTTGTAAACAAGCAAACATGACGTTGACAGAGCTTTGATTGAAAACTAGTTATTTAAGGTCATAAGTTACGATCTTGAATAGTTAGATTGCTACGTAGTGACTGAGTATTATTTTTCAGTGAAAGACAGACACAGATAGATACAACGCAGAACTTCGTACGTAAGTATGTCAGTTCAGGTTGCCATACCATATTAGCCCTTGCTTTGCCGATTCGCGCCCTCACATCTGCATCGGATCCACCTTGATTGTCGATGATGCTGCCCAGATATGTAAAGGTTTTAACGTCCTCCAAGGCATCTCCATCAAGAGTGATTTGGTTGGTGCATGTTGTGTTGCATCAGAGAATCTTACTTTTCCCTTTATGTATGTTGAGACCTACTGCTGCAGAGGCTGCTGTTAAATTGGTCGTTTTCTCTTGCATTTGTTGTTGGGTGTGCTAATCGATCGAATAGTTCACAGTCAAATAATATTAACTTTTCTTCGGTATTCTGCATCGACAAACCTTATTATTAAAGTAAGATAAAGCTTCCAGCGTCTAAGTTGAATAAGTTAGCTTAAAACTATCAGATTATCAATTATTTTATAAGATCGGAGTTTCATAGGTGAAAAGAAAACTTTGAAGTTAGAATGCAAGGCAGTCTCTTTTGTTACTTTTCACCAGTTGAAACAATGACACATTCAAGGCTTTTTCTGAAATGTAAACCCGATTTCAAAAATTATCCAGAAAACTGTGATCTTCTAAGATTTCACAAACATATTCAATTACTTACCAAGCATTTTATCTTTGCTCACTTGAGCTAGTGCTATCCCAAATGAAGGCTGTCCTCTACCATCATATTGTTCAATATTCCATTCCCAATAATGAATTCCTTCTGAGAAACCAACATCACCCAAGAGAACACGATCTTCCGGATCTCCTTGAGCACTGATTGTACACCCATCAGAAGCTAGTTTCAGACCATTGACAGGCAAAGCAGGTCCAGATAATGGATTCATAGTAAATGATGCTACTGTATGAATAAAAATGAAAGTTGTGAGGTAAATCCATTTACTAATAATCATAAGCGATGAATTTTGTGAAAAACGTTCTATGATAATATTTAGAGTTTGATCATTTAGAGTACTTGTGTGTTTACAAAGCATTAGAGCAAGTGATGGAGATAGGAAGTGTAGTTTTGAATACACAATATCGATCTTTTAAATGAAGATATTTCAAAACTATTGGATTTTGGATTCTGAAAATGTTGGCTTTAAATTATGCTAAAACTGCAGAGTTAGTGGAAATAAAGCGTCTATATATTCACAATGTGTGCACGTAGGTCAAAGATGTGAAATGTAATAACTTTTATGTAAAATATAGTAATAGGAAATTTATATGACACCTTTTATTGTTGTGTAAATAAAAAATCGAATAGTAAATTCAGTATAGTTACACTTTCAAATCCAATACTGAAATTGAACAAACATAAATTTACTGCAAAAAAATGCCATACACAAAGTTATGAAATGTTAGAAATACAATTCTTTATCCACTGGAGTTTCACAAGTATATACATATAAATGTATAGATATATAACACCATTAGACACCGGCTCAGTGTTCCGGAGGTTAGGTGTTCGCGCGCAAGATCGAAGGACACGGGTTTGAATCCTGCGGGGTGCAAGAGTTGTGGAAGCACACAGCTGATAAGACCCATTCCAGGACGAAACGGCCGTTCAGTGCTTCCAGGTTTCTAATGGTGGTCTAACATTGATCGATTCATAGTTTCAAAATGTGTAACTTCTAGTCACTTCTACAAATATTGATGAACAATTTCTTAATTTTACTTCCATGACAAAATGAACTGAATGTGAGTGAAGTAAAAAGTTCTAACCATAAAAGTTTTAAAAGAGTTAACGAGATTGGAAAACAACCAGACTATTCACAACTTGAGACACAAAACCCCTTAATTCCAAAAGCATATCGAAATTCTTCTTAACCTAAACAGTAAAAATGTACATGTTGAGAAAATCTTTGAATAACCATTTCCAAAAAAAAAAACAAAGATGGCTTTACTTTACAAATAAACAGACTTATATCATTTAAAAATTACACAATAATGAATTTATTACTTACAACGAGCTGTTTTTATTGTAACAATATCACTATAAGCACTGTGAGCAATTCCATTGGTCGATCGAACACGAAATCGATAAGCTGTATTCAAGTGTAAACCTTCCAATCGACAAACACATTCAGGTCCTGTATAGACAACCTGAAATGAAATGAAATGAAATAATTCAATAAATAGATCAATCAATGAATACTACTTAATAATCTAGTCCAAAACGAGTTGATCAGTCTGCATTTCTCAGCACATTATCATATGTATCGATGTATCATTGAGAGCTGAAGTAGAGGTGTATGTATTAATGGATTATTGGTCAAATAACTTCATCATTCATTCGAAATCATTAATCAATCATTGTAAGACCACCATTAGGAACCTGGAAGCACTGGACGGCCGTTTCGTCTTGGTATGGGACTCATTAGCAGTACGCATCCACGACTCCTGCACCTTGCAGGATTCGAACCCGCGACCTTCGGTATTGTGCGCGTACGCCTAACCATCGGACCACTGGGCCAGCATCCAACGGTGTTAATGTTTAGCTCTGATTGATCTAGGGATTTTGCGTGACCTCACCCATTTGTCTTTGGTAGTTACTGCCTACACCCGACAAGGTTGAACTCCATTGGTCACGTCTTCTCAATAGACTCCGAGAATTTCCTCACGAAGCTAGTCACTAGTGAGCACATTTTACGATATTTTCAGTTAGAGCTCTGGAGATTAGTGTTTTTACACATTTGAAAGTCGTGAATGTGCGCTTCTCATGAGTCCTATACCAGGATGAAACGGCCGTTCATTGATTCCCGGTTTTTAATGGTGGTCTAACAATCACTGATTGATGATTTCAAATGTGTAAAAACACAAATCTCCAAATCTTTAACTGAAAACTTCATTATTATTTAAAGTACTTGAATCAGCATCTACCGAGTATAATTCAGATCGAATCACTGATAAATCAATATAAAAGAGAATTTAAATTCAGTGAAATAAACAGGTTATCTATAGATATGTGTATATTACTTTCTACTCTTGTCATCGATGATACATGCACTGAATAAGTGAGTTCCAAATTATAAATTCATATTATCGGCCATTCCTACAAAGAGTCAACCAAATTCTTTTATAAATCACTATTCACTATTCAGTAGTAAAATACTCAAAACATTTCAAAATAAAATCGATTAACTGATACATTGTTGAGGGATATTAGATCCCCAGAATTCACTTGATAAAGGTCCTAATTTTGGAATTTTATTCATGGGCTGATCAGTTAACCTTGAGATTGCATTTCCCACCAAGAAACTCCTTGACTATCATCGGTCGATGTGTTATTTTAGTACGCTATTTTTGTGGCTCTCACAAGGACGTTTCTATGATGTGTAAATAAACTCGATTTGTGTTCTTGAGGACCTCATTTCCCTGGGTGCTTGTAGAATACACTTCCTATTCCATATCAAGACTTCTTTCTTCATTTGGACAGGACAACGGATTAGAGTAGCTTATCGTGTCACTGGATCATTCATTGTCTTAGCTCTCGATTACTGACTAAGTTGAACTCGTAATAATTTCAAGCATATCCAATTGACGAACTTAACATACATACATGTTGTTCTCATTCGCACTTAATTCAACTTCATCGCGAGATGAAAACATGACATTCGTTGAATGAATTATTTTTTTCCCAAAAAATAAAATATCTTGAAATTTAGAAAATTTGGTGTAATTTATCCACCGTATTTTTGTGAATAGGTTTCTGTGATATTTTCCTATCACATATAATCTCCTCTTTTGTTTACTTCAATCGGATACATTACTGTTTCTAATGGATGTGACTGTGACTATGTTATTACTTATTACCCCTGTCGTTCTAGACAAGATATATTACTTCGGTTATCTATACATGATAACTACGATACGAAACTATTAGCGTTAGGGTAGATTAGATAAAAAGAAGCAGAATGTGGGGTGGGGGAGAAGGAAATGACGCAAAACCAAATACCTTAACTAACATAGATCTCACATGTCACAAATGAATAATTATGACAGTTGGTATTATATTCTCTTAGTAGCGCGAGTGAATCATATATGCAGTAGTAGCAAGAGAGGTTTTCTTCCTGAAACTTTTTTTACAATTTTAATGCTTTCTCCTTTGATATTTCCACTCAAGATAAAAAAAAAACAGTAAACGTGTTACAAAGCAGTAGTCTATGAGTTAGGAGAAGCAAACACAAAGACAGTGAGTAGTTGATTGATGATTATCGGCTAATAATGTTGTACACTTTATTATGATTATAATTCACTAGTGTGATGTGATTCAATGTAGCTTTTTGACTTGATGTCTGTAAACAGAAATAATAATAATAATAATCAACAACAACGTAGAACTTCGTACGTACGTACATCAGTTCAAGTTGTCATACCACATTAGCATAGAGATATAATTGTCAATTCAAATCCCATAGTAATAGAGTTAGTAAAGGTATTAGAAGTAATCGGAGAGATTAGGGTTCGAACATTTTAATCAAGAAGTATAATTCAGTGAGATAACTTTAGAAAGAGAAAGATAGAGATGATAAGGAATTCAGAAGGTTAGAATTAGAGAGAACACAGTGGACGAATGCACCTGCGCCATTGCAAACGATTTTGACCCATCTCGTTCAAGGTTTTTAACCACCGGTTACTATCATCTCATGGACCCCAACCAGTTAGCCTACATCTAGCAACATGACACAGTCCACTTGTTAGTGATTTCATGGATTTGTTCCATGTTTTGGTTTGGCCGCCCCTGAGTTTCTTTTCGTTCACTGAGCACATTATTTCATTATGGAGAGTTAATTATTGATTTTCGATTGTCTCAGGATCTGACTGAATGTCAAATGCGTCAATAGATTTTAAATATATTTAATTCAATTGAGTACCGGTCATGAATTTAAAAAATAAACCACTTATTCAAGCTTTCATTATAAACGTATGGAGATTGTTGAGTTACTTTGAAATCATGAATTCATCAACGTTAGACAACCACTAGAAACCTGGAAGCACTGGATGGCTGTTTCATACTGGTATGGGACTCATCAGCCGTGCTCACTAATAACTATCTCCGTGAGGAAGTTTACTCGAGTTCTAGTGAAAAGTCGTGACCACTGCAGTTTAACCCTGTCGGTTATGAAGCAGTGCTCACTGAAGACAGTCGATAAAGTTGCACAAGACCATGTATTGATCAGAGTTACACATTATTACCAGCTCAGTGGTCCAGAGGTTATGCGTTCGCGCGCATTACCGTAGGTCGTGGGTTCGATTCCTTGTGACTAGCTGGATGCTCACTTGTTCATGTGTTCACTGTCAAGTGTTATCATCTCAATATAGTTATTGATGACGGAAATCATCAGTAATAAATGTTTGAAAATATTTTATTGGTACTGAATAATGTGACATATTTTGAAGTTTGTACAACATTTTATTTAAATGAAGCAGTCAAGAATCAGTTCAATGCTTCCCGGTTTCATTACTATTCTAGCTGACATTAACCGATAGTGTTTTCACTTTATACAAAATTTCCAAACGTTTAGTGAACTTATTGAGTTTTGTAGCCATTGATAACCAAGAAGCACTGGACAGCTGTTTCGTCTTAGTTTGCAATAAATTATTGCAGTTAGGCATAAAAACTCCTGATTACCAATTGAATGATCTCAATATCAAACAATCATCTCAAGACCTGAAAGCCCTGGGTTCGTTCCACAGTGAGGCGTGTATATATGCAAACTGTTGAGAAGTCCCATACTAGAACAAAACAGCTGTCCAATAGTTTCTGGTTTTTAATGTTTGTTTATCTAAGATTAGTTCGTGACGTAATCTTTAATAACATTTACATTGGATAAACATAAGTAACGACCAGTCACTTTGTAAGTGTGAAAGTTATCGTCAATATAGAGTATCAGTATTTACTTTGGAATTTTATAACCAAGTTGATAAATAGTATTTTACACATTCACACTATTTTGTTACTAAATCTATGCCTAATAACTAGTCAATACAAAGCCACTAACATATGTCATTCATTTAACAGTACACTTCAAATCTATGAACCAGTAACTGTAATGCAAGTTACCCTGGTCACTAAATTGACCTTTGTAAGCACAGTAGATAATCAATCAGTTTATTTATCGTAGAGTGAACCTATTTTTAGTTAAACGTATTTTTATGAATTTTATATAGGGTGAATATTTAATTAAACATACAAGTATTTTAAAGAAATATATAGTTCAGTACATTAATTTTCAGCTATCTGGCTTCAGTGAAAACATAAATCGTATAAAAACTGTCAATAATCAATACGGGAGGGAATTGTAGATATAAATTTAACATTGAACTATACTTAACGACATTGTAAACATTCGATTTGTTCAAATAAAAACCAACCAATGTTATTTTTTGTATACCATCCAGTTTACCTGATGGTTTAAGTAGGTTTTATCACGTAAGACTAATGATATTACCTACCGACATGACTTAGTCCACTTGTCAGTGACTTCATGGATTTCTGCCATGTTTTCGCCCCTAGCTTTTGACCAACCTACTCCCACACCGTAAAATATAGCTCGTCGAGGCAGTCGGTGGTTAGGCATTCGTAACACATGTCCCAACAACCTCAATTGATGAAGTTTGAATACTTCATCTATTGATCTGTCATCGCTACCTAGTACTCGTTTCCTGACTGTAGCATTGCTTACTCGGTTGTCCCATGATACACGAGCAATGCTTTGAAGACATCTATGATCGAAAACCAGTAACCTACGAATATCTTCTACTCTTAACGGCCATGTTTCACAGCCGTATTACAGGACGGAGCGTACTACTGCACAGTACACTCGTCTTTCGGTTAGCATACGGATATCTCGCCTATGCTATAAGTGACGCAAGTTGGCAAAAGCCAATCGAGCCTTCTGTATCCGTGCTGAGATTTCGTCAGTCACCAGGCCATCGGCACTGATGAGACTCGCCAGATACGTGAAGCGATCAACACTCTCGACTACTTCACTCCCTATCATTAGTTCAGGTGCTGATGCAACCCAATCTTGAAGCAACATTTTGCACTTCGACAGGGAGAACCGCATCCCAAACATGCTTGCATTGTTGCTCAGGATAGT